ATTGTATTGCCTTAGAAATTCCACCCTTTTCAAAGCTATACTTGGTAGTTCCATGAGCCCTCGTCGCGGATTGTCCTTAAGCCACTTAAATCCAAGATCTCTAAGCAACCGCCTTAAAGACGTGGCACTACCATCAAATAATGCCCTATCTCTTAATCGAGACCATAAAGTTTGTATCGTAACTTGTTCTTCTGAAACCATGTGTAATATGACATTATAATTTAGTTAACAAATTAATGCAAATTTCTGATAAGTTATTATAATAAGATCTTACTTTTGTGATACATATTATAGATCACTTCTCGAATGGCACTTGTATCCAATGTCGCTGTGTTGGTTACACGTTTAATATAACTCCGCTTTTTCTTGGGCGATTCTAAATTTGCATCACTTTTCACACCCTCGGAAATACGACTAACTGTCCTTAAACTAATTTTTAAAGCAGCAGCAACACGCTACAAAAAATGAAATAAAATTTCACTATTATTAATATACATTACATATAATTATTAGTAACCTACCTCTTGAACAGCATTTAAAGGCAACAAAGGCCCGTTGTTGTCCCTTTCTTGCTCAAAGTAGTGCATTAACGAGGCCACGAGTTCCTTACACCGACTATTTAACTGTTTGGGCATCTTTATATACCAAAATTGCCTTTATCTACTCGTAAAATGAATAATTTTGTTTTGAAACAAACAGTTGTTGATTTACAGTATGCGGGGCCAAAGGATTTATAAAGATTTGAAATGCCACAAATTGATTCAGTGTCAAAATTAATACAAATGTCAGTTCCCAGTTTAAATAAGTTTCAAGGTGACAATGTGTCAACGCTGCGAAATCGGTTTAGTGCGTTTACATGTCGATAAGTGATTGGAGCGTTTGCAAAACATTTTATTTCGCATAATGCGTCTAAATTTATCAGAAAGCAACTTATGTGATATTTTAATAACAATGTTTATATGACTATTAACCATAATAAGAGAGTAATGACCATTTTACAATTTATATATCACATTAATATGAAACTGCAATAGAGCAATTGTTTGTGATAGAAACCTAGGCATTAGGTCGGGGAATTTTTATCGTGATGACGTGCACGCCACTTTGTTTGGCGTTGACTATAGGTTTTTTGTGACGTTATGTAGGTTTTCCTACAAGATGTCTACTTATAACTAGCTATTGTTCACTTCATGTGCACTCGTTTTGTAGCTGTACGCGTTGCCTAAACGTCATGAGGCTTCAGCTATCAATGTCTTTGGCTATGATGTAACATAACATCTGCTTTAAAGATGGTATTATTGGAGGTCTAAGCTGTAAGTAGTACGAGTATATTATAGCTAGAATGAAACGGTAGTGCATAGGTGCGTAGTGAGGATTTGTGTGCTAATAATATGTGTTGATGATAATTCTCCGAGTTTCTTGTCTCAAATACACTCACTTGAGTTGTATGCTTTATTATTCTGGTAATTACATATGCAAAATTGATGAATTTCAAAAATGAGAGAGATAAAAAAATATTGGTTGGTGAGTGTACTACAACTAACATGTGAGAAAATAGGCTACAGATTGGACTATTTATAAAGTGTGAATTTAAAATAATGTTTTATTTCCAGTCATTTGAATTTCATAGAAATTATTTTGCGATGTCAAGTAGAATCATCACCTAGATCTGAGGTACTGCGAAAATGTTTTGTGTGTGTTGCGTCATTCCTAATTTCTCTGTGATGTTGCTCAATTACACACAATGCGGGCGCGGTGGCGATTTCCCGTAATGCTTCTCAAAGTTTTCGAAAACGCAAAAACCCGGGACAAATCGTAATTTATAACTTTGAACGTAACCTGTCTTCAGAAAGGTCTAGTACAACTAATAGATATACTTCATGTGCAGCAGATTCAGTAGCAATATTCTTTTATTGTAAATACCACTAATTTTATGCCCATGCAGAACAATACACACAATCATTCAGATGTGATCACGGGAGTCCAGGCTGCCTCGCTCTAAATTGACCCTTTTCATAACTTTTTTGTATAACCATTTAGAAAAAAATGTTTTATACAATAGTTGTAAGGTCTAGTAAGTTTTACATGCAATATATTTTTTATATGCAGACAAGTGCTATAGAATAAATATGTATTTTTTACTTTCAATAGCGTTTATATTTTTAGTCAAAATGGTAGTCACTTTTCTCTGATTCCACATATGCCATAGCTGTAATCTGTGCCTTAGCTACCTAGGCAATCTGTTTAGCACGAGATATGATTAAATCAGTGGCGCTCCCAGGATTTCAGTCTGAGAGGGGTAAAATGGAAAGTAAGTTCTCAGTGTGACGTGTGTGACATTAAAAGCATGGACATATGCAGGCATATGTATTTGTGACAGTAATTTCTGTAGAAAATGCATACAATGTTTTTTAATTTTGAATCATACGAAATCAAAGTGCATATAAAGCAAACCAAGCTCGAGCAATCTTCATATATTAAAACAAAAATGCACAATAATATAATCTATCACATACTTGTCTACATAACAATGTTAGACAAAACAACAAAAAATACATCTTCATGAAAAAAATAACAATAACAAATATGTTACGACTTCTATAAATGAGAAAAACACAAAAAATATTCATTGCATAACTACATTCTCTTAGCAAGTCTCAAAAAACAAAAACGTATAAACTATGAAATTACATCAGTTCACAGTCTCAAACTAAAACAATCATTACATTAGCTTAGAAAGTGATTTGAAGAGAATTTGAACAGACTTTTATGTCAGTCTGCTGGCCAATAACTAAAACCACATATCTTGATTGATTCACGTCTATTTTAATATCCCTATGCGTATACAAAAGATCTAAGCCCACTAATCGCTCTTGTAACATAGTGGAGCGAAGCCAAGTTTTGATCCTCTTTAGATGGGAGACACTTCTTTCAGATGTCGCAACACTTGCCGGCAATGAAATCAATAATTGTAGGCATCTATTAATTGAAGGAAAATGTCTTCATCACATGATAAATACAGTGACATTCCACTGTCTATAATATCTTGTGTACGTGACTTCCAAAGGTCAAATTCTGCTTTTAATCTGGTACTTATTAAATTTTTGTTTTCGTTACTATTTAGTCCATGCAAATATTTAGAGATTGTTTACTTCAGCTTCAGTTTTTGAATTAAATACTGACGCAAAGAAAATATTTAAATTGTATATATTCAAAGATTCTTCATTGAACCGGTAAACCAAATCCTGTAATATACGAGCCCCTTCCCACTTCAGTTGGCCCACTTCAAGATTTGAACCAAAATATGCCTTTATACACTAAACATGACGAAACTATTTACTTCTAAAACAATTTATTTTCTCAAAAACATTTTAGATACACTCTAGTCGTAGAAAATACTTATTTGAAATCACTTAGACCTATAACTAATAGAACATCTGAACAAATAGACAATGTGCGAATAAATGCGCGAAATTAACAAAGCAACAATTGAAAGATTACCATTGGGTAACATCACCTTTATTTTTTATTACGGCTGAAATTCTTTGGGGCATAGTGGTAACCAAGTTTTGGCAAAAATTTGGTGTAAAGCCATCCCATATTTCTTGAAGCTTTTGTCTCAGTTCGGTGATTGTACGAGCAGGATGTTGTCGTAGAACCTTTTTCATCTCGTGCCACAAAGTGTCAATAGGTGACAGATCTGGACTGCTAGAAACCCATTTCAAAAGTGGTACATTATTTTCTTCCATCCATTTTATAGCCTTTTTTGAGGTATGGCACGCTGCACCATCTTGCTGAAACACAAAATCTTGGCCGGATGTCAAACATTCTTCCATCACTGGTAAAAGCGATTCTTCTAAAATATCCAAATTTCCATCAATAAAATGAAGTTTTCCTACTCCTTTTGATGACGTACTGCCCCAGACCATAATGGATGCTGGAAATTTCACTTTTCTCTTCAGACAGTCAACATGGAATGCTTTATTTTTTTTGCGAATAACTCTACTGCGACTGTCACCAACACAAACTTCGAATCGGGCCTCATCACTCCATAGTATTGCACACCATTGTTGAGGTGTCCATTGTCTATGTTCTTTAGTCCATCTAAGCCGATTTTTCTTTTGCAGTGGAGTTAATAGTGGCTTTTCTTTGCCCTATAAACAAGTTGTGCAACTTTAGGGTTTTTACTTCACTTTTTTTTATAAGAAAACTTACCTTGCAAGTGCTAAATCCCAGTTTGTGGGCCTCTCTATGAGTTGTGGACCTCGAAATTCTCCTTCCAACAGCGTCACTCCACAGAGCACTTAATTGTAAATAATTGGCACGCCTGTTTTTCACGATTATTCTTCTTAATGCTTTTCGGTCCGCATTTGTGGTATTACATTTTTTCACATATCGTGGCTTAATATTAAATGAACCAGCTACGTTATATCTTCTAACAATATTTCTCACACTGTACCGCGATAAGTCTAACAAAGTTGCAATTTCTGAGTTTGATTTCCAGAATTAAAAAAAAATAATTATCAGTAACCAAATTTTCTCACTAATAAATAACCTTTCCTCTACCCATGTTGAAAACCTTAACTACCCAAAACTATTTAGACGTATTCTGACAGCTGTGATTAATAAAAACAATTGTCATGGCTTTTATTTTTCACAGCCACCTATGCGTTATAGACTTATTTTGCATTGAAATGAAAATAGGTTGATATGCTGTAATTGCAGCATGTGTTATTTTTATGCTGCAAATTTGATTAGGGAGTGATACGGTTGGTGTTTTCTACTATATATTATCAAAATATTCATTGTTAATATTTTAAACCTATAACAACCTGCTACATTTTTATTATTTGTGTTTGATAAGAAAAAACTAAGATTTCAATAGTTGGGGCTCGTATTATCTAGCAAAGCGACATATAGGTTCAGTCTGTAATGATTTTCCTTATCAGACGTAACTATGTTTGGTCTGTTGATATGCCTGCTTGTTATTCTTGGCACAGTCAGTTCAATACCCAGGGTACATGAGAATAGTGTTTTTCGGAATTTGCGCGTGTTTCTTGTACAAATGAAATAATATTTCCCATGAGTTTGACAGCGTATTGTTTGTCAATCGTTTTTGTTTGTAAAATCTTACTCAGGTTGACTGTTAAAGCTAATATATCACACAAACATTTTTGTGATACAATAAATTGGGTGGAAGTAATGGCAGTCTTCAAAGACTCCGCTTTTGAAGAAGCTTCGCGGTATTTCCAATTTGATATAATATTTAGTGCCTCTACAATTTTCTCGAACTTGCTTGCAAATTGGAGCACAGAATCAAGTCTCTCGGTCCATCGTGTTTTGCACATACTACGAAATTGATATCCGTCTAGTTTTCTTTTTAATACTGTATTTCTTTTAGCGGATGCTTTGGAGAACGCAATTACTTCCTTCATTATACCTACAGTATTTCTTACTGCTTGGACACTGTAGCTTTTTGAAATCGAAAGATTCAAGGCATGATTTGTGCATGGGCTTTTTAGAACATTTGCCAAACATTTTTGCAATTCCCTTACAGCGCCCTTTTGTTCACCTAACATTAGGTTACACGTATCAGTATCAATACCCACACATAGTTTTGAGTCTAAGTTATTGGTGTTAGTGAAATTCTTGACTGTTTGAGCAAGAATTTGACCTGTGAGTTTGGGCTCCATTGTATCTTTATCAAAATTTGAGTAGCAATCCACAAATCCTATGAAGTCCTCGTAAGTATGTTTTTGATAACAGTATCGCAATATGACATTTGTGATTTATGGGTAATGTATGTAGTTCCGTCAAATATAATTTCATTTTGGATGCGGCTGCTTATGTTCGTAGCATGCGCTTTTGAGTTCTCCGAGTTTTTTTCAATAAATTGTCGCCGCTCGACTCTAAACCGTAAGAGTTCTCTAAAATTCCCTTCATTATTAAGGACATCCTCGTTATTCGTGCTGTGATTAGAAAAAAGTCGTCTCCTATCTCTATGCCCTCTAAGTGGTATATTTTGGCGTCCTAAGAAAATTATAGATTCTATTATATGTGTCAATCTTCGCCGATTTTATGATACTTCCTTAATTCGCTTCGAACCTATTATCATTCTCTGAATTTTCGTAAATCTTTAAAAAGCATCTGAAACTGCTTCTATATGACATATTATGTTCTCATGTGTCTCACAATCACCGGTTTTGCCATACAATATCGAAAATTTCTTTAGATGTACGGTGACAAGTGTTTCCAATTTAGTTGGTTTATGTACTCCTCCTAATTTTGCAAAAACCACGCAATATTTACAGAAAAGCCCTTGTAGTTCCTCTGAATATGACAGCCAAGGAAATTTCTCAAAGTGTTTTTTGATAAGTGACATTTCACTTCTTTATTATTTTTCAAGTGTGTGGAATAGGGATATTTGAAGGAGTCATTAGGGATCATTGCACACCTCAATAAGGTATATGGGAAGACAAGTTGCCGCTGAAATTTACATATGGCATCAACAAAATGGGATCCTTTAGGTTTGGCACCCGATTGTTCAACACTTGGTTCAGCATATGGTGCAACATCAAGAAATTTTGTGAAGTGAAAGGCTCAGGTTGAATTGTAGGATTATCATCATTTTTTTTCGGTAATTCTTGCGCCGGTGGATCAGACAGTTTGTCTTGTTTAGAAAGGAATCAATCGATGGTATTCTGTTTCCTTTTACTCATCCTGACAACAGCAGCTGTCAACCAGCACTACAAGTTACACAAATATTGTCAAATAAACGGCATTATTGGTTACCACGCATTCACGTATCTCATAACAAAGAACCTTTTCTGTTTGGAAAACAAGATTTCTTAAGTTCACGCAATCTTCAAAAACTAAATATATAATTTGCCCTCTCGGGCGAACGAAATGCACTGAAGTGCTTATATATAGGGACTTCCGAGACAAAATAGACATAGATGATAATGATAGCTGGAGTATGGACCAAACACTTCGTAATTGAAATTATATTAAATTTTGATTTTTCCGTCTGTCATTTTTTTAGACACGATTCTTTTATAGTTTAAAAATTAAAAACAAATAAACATTAATTTTCTGACTTATGCGTGTAAAATAAAAAATCATAGAACATAGAAAATAGCGTTAATACCAACCAGATCAACAAAACTCCGCTTGTTCACTTCTTAGCCAAATTTTGTTGCGGACTCCGGACTGGTACAGAATTTAGACACTAGACTAGACCGTAAAAGACTAGACTATACCTGTTCCAACAGGAAGAAGCGCACACCGTTGCTGTTTGTGGGAGAGTCGTAGCTAGTCGCATGCGCACTGAGCGGATTGGCAGTGTCGCTGCTATCCTTTCTTAAAGTTACAGATTTTTTTATAAGACGTTTGCTTTATACCACCTTTTCAAAGACTGCTCGAGTCGTATGGGGGGGGGGGTTAATTACCTCCTTTACCTCCCCCGTGGGAGCGCCAGTGGATTAAATGTCACATATAATTTAAGTTTTCGACAAACTTAATGAAAATAATTATAATGAACCATATATACGGAGAATTAGTTAAAAAAACGACTATAATTTTGACTAAAAATATACAGAGAGCTCCATTAAAAAATACAGCCTTATTGGTTAGCACTCTTCTGAGATACCCCTGTATATAAAATAGATATAGCCTGAAAAACTTCATGTTGGATTCTACTACTTTTGTATATGAGGCTAAGAGGTGGGTCAACATATAGCGTGCACCCCGTACATAGGTAGACATATGCTCTCTCTGACGACAGGGGCTGGTAGCAGTCTGAAATTATAGCAGGCTCTGGAAAACGACCCGCTGCTAATAAGGTGGCCGATTACAGAGAGAATTTGATCTGCTCCTATACGAATCATATCGATTTTATATACTGTTGCTCGCTAACTTTGATTAAGAGCCGTAGCAGGAACAGCAGGTGAGTAGCTAGTCGGTGGCTGAAGCTGAAATTATGCTCTTCTCTCCGCTTGATTTCGAACCGAATGTGATGAACACATAAGGTTTCGGATGGACTCTTGTTAAAAACTATAGGCCGGTCAACAAAGCACAATTTTCATTTTTAGACACAACAACTTCTAAGCAACTGGCAGTTTCATTTTGAGGTTGTCGATAAAACCACTGGCTACACTTTTATTACTAATAAGAAGCCGGAATATAGGCTATTTTGGTTGGAGTCTGATTCTTACTCGTGCATATCTTCACATATCAACTGTATGTCTCCTGGGAAATTGATGAGCGTAGTGGAATTGAATGCTCTATGGGCTCCCTATGATTTCCCAACTTCTGACAGTTGTTGACGTTTATCAAACAAGTTCGTGAATTGATCCATTTCCTGCAAAACAATATTCCTTACTTCATATCATTAAAACTTTCATAATGAGGTTAACTTTGTCTTTAGAGATGAGACTGATGGACGAAGGCGAGACTTCCGCAGTTTTTCTCCTGAGCATAACCGGGGAGCGACTTCTCTATCATTATCCAGGAATACAGTTCCTTGGAAACAAATAGCAGTACGCCCACTTTCTATCAGTTCATTACAAAAAGTGATCCTATGAAAGGTTTTTTAGAGTTTAGCAGATGACCAGCACAAAAAATCAACATATAATTACATAGATTTCCAGTATACATATACATACACTAAAGTATGAACATATTTTCACGTCGCTCACCGGATATCAGTAAAACGACACCATGCATTTTATGTCGTACTATCTGATAGAGGCCTAATACTCGTATTTATGGCAAAAGTAGGGTCACATTCGAAGGATAGGACATGAGAGGGCCGCTATGAACTTTTTTTGAGGGGGAAAAGATTTTATAGCCACTCTCAGGCAGGAAAGCACCTACAGTGTTGCCGTGTTAGATATTCCTGCCCGAAGTGTGGTATTCTCCAGAAATGGGCATACTCAATAAAACGCCTCAGTCGATCGCTACTCACCCCACCACCGTCAGGTTGAGTAGTAAGATTTCATCTTATCATCACCGTCTTATATACAGAGTGATTCCTAATTGAATGTCAATATTCAAGGGAGCGATTTTTGGGTCCATTTTAAGAAGAAAACTTCTTATGGATGTAAGTTCTAAACGTCTTAACTTTTGAGACATAGGGTGGTAAAGCCTTCAAAAATAGATCATTTTTAATCAATATCTGTAACGCCACTTTAGATATTTTATTGAAATTTGGAATTTCACCTGCCTTTTTTGGCAGATATTGATTGTACGCCACTTAAAATAAAAACCACTCATTTCTCAGCAAATTTGATCGCGCATGGTTTTCGCTTAAAAAATAAAAACCGTTTCTATGTATAATCATAACAATACCGTTAATATGACTTTTTTTGGAAAAACCGTGCGTCGGACTTAACTTTGAGGAGATCAAATCTGCTCATAAATGAATACAGATTCAATTTTGTATATTTTAAGAAAGGTCGCTGCTGATTTTCTATAATATTTAGGATTATGTTAATTGGGTCGCCACTTTCTTTGAGAAAGATGTCGAAAATATATCTAGTGCTTTGTTATCAGTCATTGACCACAGGATGTAAATGTATTTGTTAGAAGACTGTTCGTTTGTAAATAATTTTAGTTTTATATTTCTGATTAAATAACATAACACTCATTAACAACAAAACAAATGCTTCTCATTAAAAAAACGATACCCACTATTAATAATTTTAACAAAATTATAAAAATCTGTTAATAAATTAATAACAACCTTTGTGTAAAAAATACTTAGAACCTAGATAAGTTGTTGAAATTGCCCTTCGCGTTGAAGTATGTAGGGTGTTTCCTTCATATTGTCGCGCACTTGAAGTACATGTACCTGCAGTATTTCTTGGTAAATCGCAGAAATCTCTTCTAAAGTGATAACTGGGGTGCGGTAAATCAGTCTTTGGCGATGTTCTTACAAGAAAAAGTTGCCGCTGAAATTTACACATTAAAATAAATAACAACCTTTGTGTAAAAAATACTTAGAACCTAGATAAGTTGTTGAAATTGCCCTTCGCGTTGAAGTATGTAGGGTTCAGCTGTTTCCTTCATATTGTCGCGCACTTGAAGTACATGTACCTCCAGTATTTCTTGTTAAATCGCAGAAATCTCTTCTAAAGTGATAACTGGGGTGCGGTAAATCAGTCTTTGGCGATGTTCTTACAAGAAAAACGATTAATATCTGGGGAACTAAGGAATCATTGTTGGGGTCGGACGCGCTGTCATGCATTCTGTTTTTATTTAAAATTGATACTTCAACTAGCAATATGGGCAAATCCTCCATTAGCAACAGGTGATAATTATGGTCAGCTAGCTTTTCTCGTAGGACAAAGATAGACATTTACCGAAAATGGTTAAATTCTACATCTGCGAGGGTCGGTCCAAATATGGTTATTGTGGAAATTTCTGATTACATTTCTGGAAAATTTAGCTTCATCCTTAAACACAATTTTACGGTCAAACAAGGATTATGCGCAATTTTCTCAAAAACCATTGACAATTCATCAATCGAATTTGAAACTGATTCTTCAATTTCTGGTGTTCTTGATTGTTGTTGATTGATTATTTGGTTTCAAAATACCTGATTCAGTCAACCTTCTATTTACATACATCAGCACATTGCCTATTTGGTATTGTTTAGTATGACTCTATTAGGAAGCCACTCTTGATACAATCG